CTAGAGGAAAAAGCAATCAGGACTAGTTGGTCTAATAAAAGATATCACCTCTACCATTAGTCCTGATATATTTAGTCCATGATTTTTTGCATCTAGTAGATTGGTGAAGTGAAGTTCATGGGCTCATCTGTAGAAAGCATTTTGTAAATTCCCTTTGAGGATTATAACTGAGAGATTGGAAAGAGAGTTGTTTTCTTGTGAGCAATGTGTCCCCACAGGTAACTGGGTATTCCTGTCTTTGATAGATTTTCGGTGAGCATCTGCAAGTGCTGCCTCAGCCTAACAAAGGGCATTTGTACCTGAAACCTTGCTAAGAGGAATTTTTCCAATTATTTGAGTTGGTCTAATAAAAGATAAATCACATTTACCTAAAGAACATTGTCTGCCTATGTCCTTAGACCAACACGGCTACAACCTACATTCCTGCTCAAGGAATTCATTCAGACAAGAGCTTCCCTGTTGAAAGAGGAAGGTCTTTCTTCTGGATACGAAATATTTGTCCAGTTTCTCCCACAGAAAACATCTGTACACTCCCAGCTTCTAGTAGGAGAAAGGCATGCCCCACTAAAATACAATGCCTGTCTTTACCCTTAGCATTTGCTCTTAATAAAAAGAGACACGCTCCCTGCATAGTTGTCAGAAATACTCTCAAGCCCACTCGGTCCGGCCTGCAGCACATGAACCGGGAGCTGCGCACTTGAGATTACATACTTGAGATTCTAGATTTCAAATGACTGTTAGAAAACTGAGGAAAGCACGAACTTTTGGTTTATTAAGTAGATATTAGGCTGCATTCCACAGATGTTTTCATTTCCTTTATTTTCCTTCTCCCTCTCATGATCAGGGATCCTGGATTTCCCTGATAAAAAAAATTGCAAATTCCTTAATCAAAACCCAAAATCAGTGATTAAATTGGAAGGCTACCATGTATATGGGTATGCCAACTGTATGGGTATCAGTTGAACACAATGTTTTATTGATATAATTACCATGTTAAAGCAATTTGGAAGCCTACTAGTACTCCAATCATTAACAGAATAAAATTCTAAATACTTATAAGTTTTCATATTTGATTTGGGGTTTTTCCATCATGGAAAAAAATGAGCTTTTGCTGACCCCTCACTTACCAGGACATGGGTCCAGCTGTGGTTGCCCCCCCACACTGCTGTGTGGTGCTGGGCAGCCCAGATATGCCATTGCCCTTCACTCCCTAGCCACAGCTTCCCCTCCCCAACCCCTATCCCCGCCAGTGCCCCTCACCTACTCCTTCCCGGCAGCAGCTCCCCCCATGCAACAGGATGCATGTCCAACTGTGGCCATCCCCACAGCTGTGTGGGTCCAACTGTGGCTGCTCTATCGCAAATCCTGCAATTTCTATCACACTTTTTTCTCTTTCACTCCTTTATGCTTAACAGAGAATGGAGTTAAATGTACATAAACAGCTGTAAATAAAGACTACTGCTTTTTTAGTGGACTCTTACAACCACTTAAGGTCAACTAGTTCCAAATGCCCACTTCCAAAGCCTGCTTAACACTTTATGCAGTTGTAGCATGTAGGAGGTGGAGGAGGAATGGGGCAGGCAGATTCCTAGGATCTGTAGAACAATGGGAAACTGCGGGCACATGCCTGCAGGGGCTGTGAACGAGTGGAAGGCTTGAGGCAGGCTCCCTGGCTGGGAGGTACAGGGCTGTGAAGAAGTCTCTAGGCAGTCCTGGGGGGTGGGGCGGGGGCTGTGGCCGCAGCCAAGATCACTCTGTACAACCCAGGGAATTACGTGCAGAAAAATTCAAAATAATGTGCAGAAAAGCTCAAAACTATGCATTTTTTTTGCCCCACAAATTAAACTAAATTAAATATAACACTATTTGAACCTTCTTTAGAAATATATGCAGGTACTTTGTATGGGTGGGGGGGCATCTGTGAAGGTGTTGGAGGTGGATTCACAGTATGTGGGGGTGTGGGCATGAGAGTATGGGGTTTGTAGGCAAGTGAGAGTATGTATAGGGGAAAGAGGGGGTGGGTATGGGAGCTGCACACCATTGGCCTGAGTGGGCTCCATGCCTATGTGTGCAGGAAGCTACACATGGAGGTGTGGAGCCTGCCCAGCCCACCCTGCAGCATGGGGTCCAGGAGCTACATGTTATTGGCCCAAGCAGGCTGCATGCCTCCTTGTGGGGCTTCTTGCACTCCTGCGGGAAGCTACAAATGGAAGCACGAAGCCCACCTTGGTCCGGCCTGCGGCACGTGGACTGGGAGCTGCACACTATCGGCCCAAGTGGGCTCCACGCTTCCTTGTGCAGCTTCCCTGAAGCCACATATGGAAGCGCAGAGCTCACTCGGGCCAATAGCACACAGCTCCCTGTCCACACACCACTGGCCGGGCAGGCCCTCCCTGTGGGCCTTCCCCCAACACCTCTCTGCTCCCTCAGCCCCGACCCACACCCCTACACCCTGTCCCCCACTTATCCCACTGCCTTTTCCCACAGCCCCCAACCCCATCCTCCAGCTCTGGCAGTCACCGGCACCCACACCAGGGTCCCCGCCCCAGCCCTGCCAGTGCCCCCCCATCCATGACCCACAACCCCCCCAGCCGTGCCAGAGAGGGCCTCCAACCCGCTGCAAGCCCCAGTTACCTTACAGGCTCCAGGAAGAACAGTGAGTCTGAGCCAAGCCTTGGCTGACGATCTCAAGCCCTGCCCTTTCCCCCTCTCCCTCCTCCTCCAGACAGGGTTGGGAGTTTGCTGCCATTTTTGCAAAAAGCTCTTGCAGGCTGGAACTATGCCAGCCTGCGGAGCTCTTTGTAGAAGTGGGAAATCTGCAGGTATTTCTGCTAAAAGGAAAAATCCATTTTTTCTCTGATAAATGGGAGGAAATCCATAGTTTTCTCTGTTTTTCCATGGGAAACTGAAAACCTGGATCCCAGCTCATGATTTCCTTCCATGGCTTTCACTGAATACAAAACTACTGCCTTTTACTTACACTTACTGCAATGTAAGAGCATGCATATAAGCAGTTCCCAAGGAGCAGCTGATGGACAGTTCTAACTCAACAACAAATTGTTCACATGTCCAAACTCTTAGTCATCACGTAATTTAGTCCTGAGGTGATTCAGACATGGATAGCTCCTGTAACATCTATCTTCGGGGAAAGGACAACTTTTTATACTGTAAAAAAAAAAGTTTTCTTGAAAACCTAGTAGAAATTGTAATGCCTGCAAATTTTTTCATTGGTCTCCAACAGATCCAGTCAATCCCAAAATTGACTTTTTAGTCACTAAGATACCCATTGATTGTTTGTGAAAACTAGACATTGGGCTGTTGTGGTTATCATTTATCTTCAAGTACTGGGCTAACTTGCCTCCAGTATCACAATCCCACTGGGTGCATCTAGACGCTGAGGTAACATGGGGGGGAAGAAAAAAAAAGAACCTTGATATGATGGTGGAAAAAAGGATGCACAGACAGATCTAAGAATGGGGAAAAGCCAGTTTGAAGTTTTTTGATAAGTTAGAAATTCTGTTGGGAAAAGTTAATTGTAAATGAAGTATTCATATGGAAACATCAGTTTCAACAAAGTTCCATTAACAAGAATGTTTGCAGGGACATTTGCAAACCAGAAGACCTAGAGTTATCATTACCATAAAAATTACTGTAA